GGTCAAAAGCAAATCACTAGTGAGTAATTTTTACTTACAACTTCACTAATATCAAAATATGTTTAATAGGAATGTAGATGTGTAGCATGTATCGGATTGTGCGCCGTCTTGGGGAGGGTGGTGGGGAGGAGGGGGGAGAAAAATTTTAAACTCAAAAGCATATGGAACTGATTGTTGATAAATCAAAATAAATTAATAAAATAAAAAAATTAGAATGTAGCAATTGAAAGCAAATGACTTTATGAGAAATCAAGACACTGTAAAACAAAATCAAAAGAATGAAAAAATAGAAAACAATATGAAATATCTCATTGGAAAAACAACTGACCTGGAAAATAGATCCAGGAGAGAGAATTTAAAAATTATTGGACTATCTGAAAGTCATGACCAAAAAAAGAGCCTAGACATCATCTTTCAAGAAATTATCAAGGAAAACTGCCCTGATATTTTAGAACTAGAGGGCAAAATAGAAATTGAAAGAATCTACTGAGATCCCCAAAGGAAAACTCCTAGGAATATTGTAGCCAAATTCCAGAGTTCCCAGGTCAAGGAGAAAATATTGCAAGCAGCCAGAAAGAAACAATTCAAGTATTGTGGAAACACAATCAGGATAACACAAGATTTAGCAGCTTCTACATTAAGGGACCAGAGAGCTTGCAATATGATATTCCAGAAGGCAAAGGAGATAGTATTACAACCAAGAATCACCTACCCAGCAAAACTGAATATAATCCTTCAGGGGAAAAAAATGGTCATTCAGTGAAATAGGGGACTTTGGAGCGTTCTTGATGAAAAGACCAGAGCTGAATAGAAAATGTGACTTTTAAATACAAGACTCAAGTGAAACATAAAGAGGTAAACAGGAAAGAGAAATCATAAGAGACTTATTAAAGTTGAACTGTTTACATTCCTACATGGAAAGATGACATTTGTAACTTATGAGACCTTTGTCAGTATTAGGGTAGTTGGAAGGGAAAAATTATATGTATAGATAGATAGATAGATAGATAGATAGATAGATAGATAGATGGCACAGGGTGAGTTGAAGATGAAGGGGTCATATCTGGAGAATAAAATTAAGGGGTGAGAGAGGATTATACTGGAGAAGGAGAAAGGGAGAGGTAGAATGGGGTAAATTATATCACATGAAACAGACAAGAAAAGGCTTTTACAGTGGAGGGGAAGTGGGGGAAGGTGAGAGGGAATGAGTAAATCTTATTCTCATAGGATTTGGCTTAAGGAGGGAATAACATACAGACTCAATTGGGTATGGAAATCTTATCTTACCCTACAAAAAATGGGGGAGGGGGAGAAGGGGACAAGAGAACACAGGAATGATAGAGGGGAGGGCGGATTGGGAAAGGGGGTAATCAGAAGCAAACACTTCTGGGAAGGGACAGGGTCAAAAGAGAGAATAGAATAAATGGGGAGTGAGATAGGATGAAGGGAAATATACTTAGTTTTTCACAACATGACTACTGTGAAAGTGTTTTGCATAACTATACATGTACAACCTGTATTGAGTTGCTTGCCTTTTCAATGAGGGTGGGTGGGGAGGGAGTAAGGGAGAAAATTTGGAACCCAAAGTTTTAAAAACACATGTTAAAAAAATTGTTTTCACATGGAACTGGGAAATAAGAAATACAGGAAATGGGGTATAGAAATCTATCCTGCCCTACAGGAAAATAGAAGAGGAAGAGGATAAGAGAAGGGGGGAGAGATAGAAGGAAGGGCAGATTAGGGGAAGGGGTATATACAATGTGTGCCATCTTGGGGTAGGAGGAGGGATGACATGAGGAGAAAATTTGGAACTCAAAGTCTTGTGGGAGTGAATGTTGAAAACTAAAAATAAATTAATTTTTTTTAAAAAGAGATCATCATTAATATTGGAAAGAACATTTTCAGTTGGTTGAGGAGGTTAGAAACTAGATTACAAAATCTTAAGAGATTGAGAGGTGAAATGGAGACACATGGTAGAAGAACCTTTCTCAGAGAGTTTAGCTGAGGAGAGTAATATTAGAATGACAGCTGGCATAGATTATAGGATCAAGTGATTTTTTTTTTAATAAGAGAATAAAGGAATAAACATTTGTATAATGTCTACTGTGTGCCAGGCATTGTTAAGAACTTTACAAATATTTTCTCATTGAATCCTCACAGGAAGCCTGTGAGGTAGGGTACTGTTATTATACTCATCTTACATGAGGAAACTGAGGCAAACAGAGGCTAAGTGGCTTTCCCAAGGTCACATAACTAGTAAGTAAGGCCAGACTTGAACTCAGGTCTTCCTGATTCCAGGCCCAATGCTCTACCCACTGTGCCACCTAGATCCCTTTTAATGATAGAAGAGACATGGGCATGCTTGTAAGCAACAGAAAAGAAACCAATAGACAGAATGATGGAAAAGTTAATGGGGACAATTTTCTGGACAAGTTAGGATGGGATGGGATGGGATCAAGGACTCATAGACAGGGGTTTGCCATGCAAATGAGAAAGACCACATCTGCATGTGATAGAGGAAATAAGAGAAGTAGGAGTTAGTGAGCAAAAATTTCTGAATGAAGAGACGAAAATGGGGAGCCCTGTTTAAGTGGAAAGAGCTAACCCATGTGTCAACCTATTTATCATAATGTCAAGAGAGCTAAAAGAAGTCACCAGCATCCTGGATAGTTTCCCTGTGGAGGATTTACAGTAGAACATAGACATGAGTCACACAACATGGCAGGTATGGATGAGTCACAGTCTTCATTATTTGAAAGTACCCATACTAATAAGATCACAGATCTATTCAAAGAATCAAAGGGTAAAATGATTATTTAAAAGCATGTACATGCTGTGTACATCTGAATGACAACGTTTAATGTACACCTGCATTCTTGGATTCCTTTCAATAACTGAAGCCCCTCAGTGTCTCTAGTTAAGAGGTCAGTAACAATTGCACTATAATATTCTGCTTAAATACAAATATTAATGGAATTTTAGAGGTGGAAAAGACATTAGAGATCATGTAGTTTCATGCCATCATTTTATGTATGAGGAAAGTGAAGTCCAGAGAAAACTTATGCAAAGTCCTATACTTGGTAGAGCCAAGCCCAAGACTATAACCTTTTTCTCTTGATTTATGGTATACAATGCCTAAATCAAAAGGTTTTTTCTAAGAAACTTGAAAGAGCTTTAGAAAAAAAAAATATTATTCCTTAATTTTTACTAAAAATGAGGTTTTAAATATTCTTCCACAGTATGTGGATATGTTCACAGTATATATGTATTTATATATACATATATGTGTGTGTATATATACACTCATTTTTATACATATATATAGCCACTATGTATTAACAACATGTGTTTATCCTAATACATGTCACTTTATTTGTTGAAGAACAGGTATAAAATTTCATAGAATAGATATCTTCCTGAAAAAGTATAAGCAAATCTAATTTTATAAATCAAATCATAATCCTCATTGATATCAGAGTCACTGTGATATGTAGTATAAAGATCACTGTAAAAGAAGTAATAGAAGTTGTGTGACCTCAGATGAGATATATCTTTAGGTTACTTTAATTTCATATGTGTGTACACACACACACACACACACAAATGGAAAGTCATTTTACATGAATACCTGGAATTAGAGGAATTTGAGCTGGAAAGGACCTTAGAAGTCAGCCAATCCCTCTCTTATTTTGTAAATGCAGAAGTTGAATCCCAGAGAGGTGGGTAATAGTAGTAATAGTAATAACTAACATTTACAGAGCATTTTAAAGTTTGTACTATTCTTTATTTCCATGACTTTATCAGATCCACACAATAACCCTCTGAGGCAGGTACTACAGTTTTTACAACTGAAGAAAGTGAGTTTCAGATTACGTAACCTGCCTAGGCTCACCCAGCTAGGACTTGTCAGACATGAGATTAGATTAGAACAACACTCCATCCACTATCCCATATTATAGTCATGTAACTACAGGCATGCTATATATTAAATCCTGGAATTTGAATCAGAAGACTTGCATTGAAAACCTGGCTCTTCCACTTCTTAGCTAGATGACTCTGGACAATTCTATGATTTTTAGTTACTTCATCTGTAAATTGAGATGGCTACCCAAAATTCTGGAAATAAATGGGTAAAAAAAAAAGTATTGAGTATTTACTATGTGCCAAGCACTGTACTGAGCACTTCAAATATATATGCAAAAGCAAAGGTGGTCTCTGCCCTCTAGGAGATTGCATTCAATAGGACAAGACAGTATATAAAGAGTTGTGGCCACAAAGCAATATTTTAGTTTGAAAAGTTACAAGGAGAGTAAGAGGAGTCAAGAGGATTGATCAAATATTTCTAATAGCAATGTCAGTATTGATTTGATCATGGTTCTAGCACCTGAACACAGAGGGACGAAGGACATTGAGTGTACTTGTGCAGTGATAAAGCAGGTCATGATAGTTTGAGTATAACGAAGCCTGACTGGAGCCAGACTGCACCAATATTATGGGCCACGTGAAGCATTACTGTATTAGGACACTGGGTAGGAGTTCCTGTGATTGAAAGGGTAAGTGCTCTAAGGCATGATCGCCATTAGCTGGTTAAGGAAATGGCTAGAGAGTGAAATGAAACACAAATAGAAGCTAGCCTGGCGCGATAGGGAATGCTATTTGAGATACTCACTAATCAGAACAGGGACTCCAGAGTAGAAGTTTGGAGATGAAAGGGTGAGGTCTTCCAACTGCTGGTTCCTAATCCGAGGCATAGAGGTTGATGAGATTGCCAGAAGTAAAAGGATTATGAGATCCTATAATCCTATAGTGTGAGAGACTCTATTTGTGTAATCTGAGCCAAAAAAGAAAAAAGCCAATCCATGGGGAAAAAAATTTGAATTAAAAACTGAATGTTTGTATGGAGTTACTAATTTCCTCCTTTTTTATTTAAGGTTGAAATAGAATTCTGTTTTATAAAAGTAGAAAAACTAATAATTGTATATTGTTGCATTTTTTTGTAGTCACAGTGTGCCCAATATGCTGCTGACCGAAGAGAAGAAGAAAAGATGTGTGACCATCTTATCAGTGCTGCTAAGCATCGAGATCATGTCACAGCCAATCAGCTCAAGCAAAAGATTCTTAATATTCTTACAAACAAACATGGGGCTTGGGGAGCTGTATCTCATAGGTAAGTTTCTAGTATAAATCTTTAGAAAAGCAGAATCTGACAAAGCTAATAATACTTATTAGAAAACAGTTTTAAATATTCATTGCCAGTTGTTTCTATTTCCCCTAGAAATTGTTCAATTAATAATTCCAAATTAACAAGGCTTTCTTACAGCTGAAGCTTCTTAGAGGCTCAAATGCAAGTATTTAACATTTCTTTTTCAAATCATCCTTCAAAATATTTGGATGACCTAAAAAACTGACTGTCACTTCTTTCAGAACTATTCATTGTTTTGCTTATTTAATTTCTATCGCTTTTTAATGCTTTACCACATATTTTTTAACAGATAGCTCCATTTTACAAAAGCATGGTTTTATCCCTTGATTTTAAGCTAATAATCTTTTTTCAATCTGGCTTTTGGAAAAAGACATTTGAATTTTTCATGGAAAGATTTCCATCCCACACAATGCATTCTCCTACAGTATTTACAATTCTTCAAATTAAAAAAAAATCCTCAAGAAAAAAATGGGTTACTTATTCATTGTAAAGGTTTTCTTCCATGAAGTGTCACAAAGAGCCAGGATGGTTTCATCACTTTTGTGAGGCACAGAGATAAATCTTACATCACTAACTGCCTGGCTTCAAATTCTAACTCCAACATTTCCTATCTTTGTTAAGACATACAAATCACTTAACCTCTCTAACTCCAGATCCAAGATATAAAACAAAACATGCCTATATTTATGTGCTCTTGGGAATTATGTCATAATGGATAGAGAGCTGTTCAGTTCCCCCCTGATACTTCTTAACTGAGTGACCGTTGGCAATTTACGCATCTGTTAAGGGGCAGAAAAATATCTGTATCACCTACCTCAGAGTTATTGTGAGGTTTGGATGAGATGTTTATAAAATGCTTTACAAACTTCAAAGTTCTATATGTTGTTTTTATTATAGGGATTTAATTCTTTTTTTCTTTTGCTCAATAGTCATTTGTCATTTAGACCTATCACCTCAAGAAATAAGTTACTATTATGACTGAATTTTCAACTTTATATACCTCTTTCATGACACAGCTCAGCTTGACAAAGTTCTGCATGTTAACTGTTACTACCTCCAGAACCCTGGGCAAGCCACTCAACTTCTCCTTAAGTGTTAAGCAGATCCCTAAGACTTATTATCTACTAAGTTTTAGGTGGGCCATGATGAAGTAAGTCAAGGGATGGAGTGCCCACACCAGAAATGCCTTACACTGACTTAAATCACAAATTTTAATTCTTTTAATACTGTTTTCTTGATCTGCATATCTTAGACTAGCAGGAAATTGAACAGGCTAGTCTTCAATGTAATTAATACGGAATAGATTGACTCCCTAATTTATTTGAGGATCATGAAGAAGGAGGAGATGGGGTATCCAGAAGGTAATCAGAGTAGTCTTGACCTGCTGTCCTGGAATTTTGGATAACTATAGCTGAGGGGTTTTTTGATTTGATTTGGTTTGTCCCCCTATTCGAGGTTGAGTGCAGTGGATAGAGCCCTAGGCTTGGAGTCAAGAAGACTTGAGTTCAAGTCTGCCCTCAGACACTTAGTAGTTGTGACCCTGGGTGGGTCACTTAACCTCTATTTGCCTCAGTTTCCTCAGCTGTAAGATGGAGGTAATAATAGCACCAGCAACCTCAGGTTGTAGTGAGGATCAAATGAGATATCTGTAAAGGACTTTGCACAGTACCTGGCACATAGTAGGCACTTGATAAGCTTGTTCCCATCCTCCCCTTCAGCATGGAAATGTATGTACACATAATACATTAGTGCTGTATTTATGTTTTCTTTTGTTGTGGGTACTTCCTCCACTGATGCAAATTGCAATCCCTGTACACCTTAGTAAATAGGTTCCATGAGAGTTGCTGTGGTTAAGTAAATTCACCACCTGAAGATTAACATTCTAATGAGATGCCTTTCTTTACTTAGCCAGGACGTCCTTTAGACAATATACACACCATCTGCCATTAGGCCTGAAACTTTGTTTGGCAGGACCTGATAAATCACCTAGCATTTATTATCCATTTTCTGTGTGCCAGACTCTGCTAGGTACTGGGTTACAAAGGAAAACACAACAGTCCTTGTCATCAGGGAGCCTGCATTTTACTAGGAAACAATGTGTACTCATATAAGTACATTTAAAACATATGCAAAGTAGATTCAAGATGATTTGGGAGTGGGAAGCAGTAGTACCTGGAGAAATCACAAAAGGTGTAGAGGTGGCACATGAAGAGATTTGAAGCAATTCTGAGGATTCTGAGAGGCACAGGTGAGAACAGAGAGTGCATTCCAGGTCCAGAGAAAGCTTCTGCAGGAGCACAGAGGCAGAAGAGGCAGCATTATGTATGAGGAATAGGGAAGAGGCTACTTTGGCTTGTACTGTTACAGGAAACAAGTGATATGTGATAGTCCAGGAAAAGTGACCTGGACACAGACGATAAAAGGCAGTGAATGCCAAAGAGGAATTTATATTTTATCCTGGAAACAGTAGTGAGCCACTGGAGGTTTTTCAGCAGGAAAATGTCATGGTGAGACCTGTACTTTTAGGATTATCACTTTGAAATCTCTGTGGAGGATAAATTGGAGAGACTTGAAGAAGGAAACCAGTTGATAGGCTGTTTCAGGAGTTCAAATGAGAGATTATAAGGACCTGAACCATGGTCATTGTAGTGGTCATGCTTTCTGATAGTCCAACTAAATTACCTATTCTCCATAGATTTTCCAGGTCAGTTGTTTTTACTATGAGAGATATCTTACATTCTCCCTCTGGGATCTCTTCTTGCTCCATTGCACAACCTCAATCCTCTTTTAGTTTCTTGTGTTCTAGAATGTTCCATGGAGCATATATCTCTCTGTTTTTGTCAACTATGGCTGGAAAAATTGCTCACCATGATTATCAATCAAGACTCAATCAGTGTGTTTTCTGTATCTTTTGGAGGACTTGTGTTGAAGAATCTGGGTTATATTTCTTCCTGCTACTGCCATCTTGACTCTGACTTCTCTTTTAAGGAGAATAATTTTAGAACTGTAAGCATATATGGCTATAGGGAAGAGAAACTCAAGTAAAGAATTGGTAATAGATCCCATGGCTGATGAGGTCAATATACCAGGCTTAGGCAAAATTACATCCTAGGGTAGTGAAAAAATTCACATGGCATTATTGATCCATGGTCAGTAATTTTTTTTTTTTAATGTGAGGCAATCGGGGGTAAGTGACATGCCCAGGGTCACACAGCTAGTAAGTGTCAAGGGTCTGTGACTGGATTTGAACTCAGGTCCTCCTGACCCCAAGGCTAGAGCTCTATCCACTGAGCCACCTAGCCGCTCCATGTGGTCAGTAATCTTATGAAGATACTGGAAAAAAGGAGTGATACATTAAGACTAGAGAAGTTCAACTATGTTTCTGAATTTTGGGGAAAAACAAACTAATAGGTCAGCAAATTTGAATTCAATTCCTGGAGTAATTCTAGAATTAAAGGCATAGTTAGTGAATATCTAGATAAGGAAGTGATAGTAATCACAAAGAAACAGTATGACTTAAACAGTGTTGTGGAGCACAGAGACACATAAAGAGAATGCTGCACCTTGAGATAGAAGGACAAGTCTGGTAAGAAAATCAATCAAGTTAAAGTAGAGGAGAGTAGTTTGAGTTGACACTGAGAATGTAAAGACAAAAGGAAAATCTGAAGGAGGATATGAAAATAATAATATCAGCCAGTGAAAATGGGAATCTGTTCTTAAACACAATTAACTTCCCTACCTAGTTTAAAAATGTATTGTATTATTTTCACAAAAGTGGCACATATTTTTATTAGGGGCCAACAGTGACAAAAATTAAGTCCACCAGTATTATCTGACCAAGAAAAGCAGTCATGGATTAAATGGATGGGAATAAAATGAAGAACCAAAGGACAAATTAGACAGCTACTTCCATTCAACATTTTTTTGAGGTGGTCAAATTTTTTAAATAGTATTTTATTACACACACACACACACACACACACACACACACACACACCAATTACATGTAAAAACAATTCTAACATTCTTTGTTTTTTGTTTTTTGGCTTGTTTGGGGGTTTTTTGCGAAGTTTTATGTTCCAAATTCTATCCTTCCCTCCCTCCCTCACCTGGAGACATTAAGCAATCTGATATAGATTATACATGTGCAATAGTGTAAAACATTTCCATATTAGTCATTTTGTGCAAGAAAGAAACAAAGAGAAGGAAGGAAAGGAAAGGAAAGAAAGAAAGAGAGAAAGAGAGAAAGAAAGAAAGAAAGAGAAAGAAAGAGAGAAAGAATGAAAGAAAGAAAGAAAGATCTTATGCTTTAGTCAATATTCAGACAAGATCATTTCTTTGTCTGGAGGCAGATAGAATGCTTCATCCTGAGTCCTTTGGGATTTTCTTGAGTCATTGTATTGCTGGGAGTAGCCAGGTCGTTCACAGTTCTTCATCAAACAGTATTACTATGTACAATGTTCTCTTGGTTGTGTTCACTTTACTTTTTATCAGTTCAAGTAAGTCTTTCCAGGTTTTTCTGAAATCATCCTCCTTGTCATTTCTTATAGCACAATAATATTCCACTATACTCATATATCATAATTTGTTCAGTCATTCCCCAATTGATGGGCATTCCCTCAATTTCCAATTCCTAGATATATCAGAAAGAGCTGCTGTAGCATTGCTGGATCAAAGGATATACACAGTTTTATAGGCATTTGGGCATAGCTCCAAATTGTTCTCCAGAATGGTTGGATCAGTTCACAGCTCCACCAATAGTTCATTAGTGTCCCAGTTTTCCCACATCACCTCCAACATTTATTATTTTCCTTTTTTGTTATAGTTGCCAATATGAAAGGTGTGAGATGGTACCTCAGAGTTGTTTTAATTTGCATTTCTCTAATCAATAGTGAACTAGAGCATTTTTTCATATCACTGTAAATATCTTTAATTTCTTCATTTGAAAACTGCTGGTTCATATC